AACCATATCTTGCTTATCTTCCAGGAATGCCACTGCTAAAAAATGTCTATTTGTTTTGTACTGGTTCTAAAATGTGTACTCACTTTTCAGGCAGGAAATTAGGGCCTGATTTTACAGTTGGCTTATTCAGTCGATATTCTGGCCTTCCCAACAAACACGCAAGGCAGTTTACAATAAGAGAACAGAACAGGGCCCAGAGGGTGGACAATCTGACCTAGGTGGGCACACAATCCCATAACATAAAGAGTACCAAAGAAGTCAGTGAGGGTCTCCTAACTACAGACATCTGTCTATATGCCTCCAACTGCAGTATCAAGACCATAGTTTGCAAATTGTTTTCAAATTGTTGGGGATGAACGTTAAGAGAATATGCTCTATGATCAAGATGTCTGTGCATTAGACTCACTGACTTCATGTAAGCATACCCTGGGTGTAACTGAACACATACGGGTCCCTACTTTTTCAGTGACCAGTTAATACACCATGGTATTTTTCAATTAATAAATAATAATAGTAAGTACTTATATATAATAAATGTAGGTAGGTAGGTGTGTTAGGAGATAGGGAAGGAGAAGGCATCCATGGACCAGCGCTGCACCACTCATCTAGCCCAAGGGGCTGGATGAATTTTACACCCCTGATCTAAAGGAGGAAATAAATTGCCACTTTAACACCTTTACCTGCTACCAGAATTATATTATATATAAATGAGAATTGGGCCCATATACTTTTATTAAGAGGTGTGTTAACCTCAACAGACAAAACGTTTGCACAAATTCAAGCAAACAGTTGACTTACTATCTCTGCTCCCAAATTCAACTTAGAATTTTGTCTCCATCCTCGCCCAGGAGGAATTCAGCCACTGAATGTCCAGTAGCATAACTGAGACTTACTAATTTGTCTCCCTACAGAGTATACTGACAATGTAGTAGGATCAAAAATTCTATATTTAAATTTATAATTTGTTAAAAAAAATTAACTTGGTTAGGTTAGTAAGCATTAATATCAAGGACCATTAGTTTAACTGGGCTGAGAGAAAAAAACCCAATGCCAGTGACATATAGGAGATAAATAATTGCACAGGGAACAAGTTCCTAAAAAACAGGAAAGAAATGTCTCAAAAAATTTGTGTCAGCTCTTTGATGTCATTATCTTCTGCTTTCCAAGACGCATTGAATTATTTGTTACTTTCTCTCACATGATAACACGTAGTTTAAGGAAAGGACCATTTTTCCAACCAGAAAATAAAAAGCTGACTAATTTCCTTCAATATTTTGCCATATCCTTATAGACCTGCTTATCTAAGCACTGTGGAGAAGCATAGATGTATGCTGTACAATGAACTTGTGTTGACTTCAAAAGTTCATTTTGTCCTCTAAATAGATGTCCTGATAATTAAACTCTCCATTACATTATTGCTCCATTAATGCCCTCTCTCCCAGCTCACTCATTTCTTTTGGGGACAAGTGGTCCCACAAAACACCCTTTATTCTCTTTATACCATTTTCTAATACCTTATGTAGCTGTACATTTGCCTTCTAAATGGATAAACTACTGCTAGTCAGGATTTTTTTTCCTCCCCCAAATATTTGGGGACTGCAATGACTTCTTGTTACTTTTCAGTAAAAAGCTTCCCACCTGCCTGAAATGCAATGTTTTGCTCTTCCTAATCCGTTGCTTAAACAAGATTTCTCTTGTTTTGGTCCCATTTGGGATGTGAAAAAATCCTTACTGTGCTTTCAGAAAAAACTCTGTTGAAAACGCTTCCTTCTGTAAACTGGCACTAATTACATGTGTTAGGGGAAACAATAAGCTGAAAGTAAGCTGAGGTGCTCCCTTACTGCAAGGCAATAAAGGCATTGCCTTAGCTGTGCTCTTATTATTTCCCAGCATTGGGCAACCCAGGGACTGCATGACAATTCTTCATTTTACATTAAAGTGGGAAGCCAATACTTGATACAATATCCTTAGCATTCATATTGAAAACTATAAAAACTGTTCAAGTGATACTGGAACTTGCAAAAACACTCACAACTCTGTCTCACAGGTCTCTGACTACAAGCTTCACTATTACCTTATATTCTCTCAACCTAATTTTTGCACAGGTTGCACTACTACTGGATGACCAAAAAGGCCCAAACAGGGTCCCAGGCAACAGTATAGACACTTACCTGCAGAAAAGCTAGCATTAATGTTAGGTCAGAAGCGCAGATCACTCTGTAGTATGTTTGCTTCACAGTTAATCTTTTAGCATGAAAATAATAATCATGCATATCCCAGAGAAATAAAAAGGCAACTGGCCCACTGGGTTTTAGCAGGTCTTCTTCACAAAATGGCAGGTAATAAGTGGCAAAAAATGCACAACAGTTATGCATCCTTCAATATTGATTGTAATTTGACTAACTAGAAAAAAAATAATGAATTCTTATTGGAACTTCTGAACCAAAAATCTCGGGCCGTTTTGCCTTCCTCTGGAATGGGGGCCATAGTTCACTTCCCGGGATCACTGCGGCATATCTTAATTCCACCTTGGGGGAGCCCTCATCTCCCTCGCTTTCTTCCTGCATCACACTTCAGGGGCTCTTTTTGTCACGTGCTTTATGGCTGTGGCCTGCACGACTGGATGCTCCTGTGGTTCCTTTTGGATACATGGTTTTCTGTGAAGGCGGGACACTACCTGCTGGCTCTGGCGGTCCCTTCCCAGCCCTCGGATCTAATTTTAGCATATATATATATATATGGGAGGCAAAAGGTCCTAAAATACTGCCCCCACTTTCACACAGCCCCAGTCACCACCCCAGAACACAACTTTTTACGTGAATTTTGTATGATTTTCTTTGAAAGCTGGTGACATCTAAAATTTCATGAAAACGCTGTGCAAGGAAGGAAGCAAAGTGCTCAACTTGGGCATGCACAGGCACGTGAAAAAATACTGCCTTCAAAAGACGGGGGTATGCCTCTGGATAATGGGATGCTCTGGTGTTGCCTTCTAGAAGGATCTTGAAGCTTTGCTAATCTCAGGGATGTATATTGCAATAAATAAAATAAAATCAGAATATACCATAGCCATCTCAAAGAACAATCCTAGTTTCAATTCTGAGGAACGTATGAATGTTTATTAAGGAGGGTGCTTGTGCCCCAAAGCTTGCAAAGAACAATTTTGCCAACTTCTTAGTTAGTCTAATAAAAGATATTGCATTTACCCAAAAAGCCTTGTCTGGAAAATAGGAAGAATTAATTTGGTAGGATAAAGGGACCATGGGTCATTGGCACATATCAGTGGCTGCTTTTTATACTGTAAGAGTTTCCTGGTAAAGGCCTGTTGAAAAATAAGGAGAAGAGTCCTAGGTATTTTCCAAAGCAATCAACTTTACTTATCACATGCCAAGGTCCCTTATCACACGTGGAAACATTGGCCTGTGATGTATTCTAATTAAAAACAATATTGTCGAAGGCACCTTGTCTCACATGTATTCAAGGGCTTTCAATTATATAAGAAGATGAAATTCTGGCATACGCTTCCCTCAAATGTGTCAGAAGGTGACAATTATATAGTTCACTGTACCCCAAGTTGTGAAATTTTAATTCATTCCCTGACAGATTACAATGTTAATTACAAATGATGTGCGAGAGCACAAGATACTTCAGAAGGCAAGACGATAAGTGAGAAACTGAGCCTCGCAATTAACATAACTTAAAACAAGAAAATGGTAATTTAACGAGCTACATAGGACTCAAAATGGAGTGAGCTTCGCTATACATTATGCATTCAGTTGCCACTTATGCTTGCGAGTGAATTTAGCACCCCTACTGCATGCATACAAGCAATACCACAAATGCCAAATACCGATGACAAATACTACCATATACCTCTGCTATAGTCATTCGCATAGCACTGACAGGTGAGGGCTCAATATCCACCAGCTGAACTGCATTAAAACTCTGAATGACAAAGATAGCACAAGGACAAAAACACACAGCATACAGTTAGAATTGCAATGTAAATACAGTTAGAGATTCAGCACACTGCATTATGAACAGCCTAGCACTTTATGTAAATAGCTTGCTCTACCGAGAAGTTAGGGAAAAATGAAAAATTGCTTATCTTTTGCTAAGGAGGAAAGCCAAAAGATAACACTGAAATTCAAGGACAGTTTTGTTACTGCTGTTAGTGCTTATTCCTGGCAAAGTTATTCATGGAGTCCATTACACAGCTATTAACACAATGTCTGGGGTTAAGCAATTCAATATGTGGGCCAGGTCTGTCTTCCCCAAGCAGAGTTTACTTAGTGAGAGCCAGGGAAATAAAAAGCTGTAAAAGGTTTGCTCTTCAAACCTGCACTTACTTTAAATTGTTACTTTTACCTAACTTGAGGAAAAAGGAAAAAAAAACCCAAAAATGACTTGAAAAAAACCCAACAAACCTTCCGGAATGTAACCATTATGCTGTGATTTACTCATTTAAAAGTTTGCCACTGATTTTTCCAGAATAACATTGGCTGCACATATTTAGAAACTAGGCTAGAATACTGGGTTATTAAGTGTATCCTACTTTGACCAAAACCTGTATAACTTTCTCAAGTGAACTGGAGGGCACAGCACATTTTATTTGGCACTTTAGTAAGTTATTTGTCTAAGTCGACAGTTATGGGGGTTTTGAGAACCTTCCCAGAACACAATACAGTTTAACCCATTTTAGTAAGAGCTTAGGCTCAGAATAGAAATGCAAAGATATAGGGGCTGGTAGTCACAGAACACAGAGGCAAAAACGTGCAGTTCTCTTGCAGGTGATGATGATATTGCCACCCCATCTGTTCAATGCTTTAATTGTAATTACATACCTACAGGAAATGCAGTTGGTAAAATCAGGTCGTTACCCTCTACCCATTCCAGGAATACCAGCTGTATTGGCAAGGACTAGAAGACTAGCAAACAAGGCTACCATCATATTTATTTACAAAAAAATGCAGTAAAACCATGGAATTCAGAAAAGCCCTTACGGTATCGCTGTCGCTAGGCTGGAACTGGAAGGGTTGCGGTTTGCGAAATACAGAGTTCTCCTGTAAAAATAGCTGTAGATTGTAATCCCGTGCCACCTGAAAAGTGAACAAAATTCAGTTCAGACATCCATTACTTTGTAGAGTTGGGACATAACTTTATCACAACAATGTTAGATAAATATTACGCTTGAATTCCACAGCTTCCTTGTGCACAGGCCCAGCTCTGCTGATTTCAGTGGAAACTATCTGGGGGAAAAACGGTGAAGTCAGCAGCTGACTAATGATCTTTCCACGGCACTGCTCACAACTGTCCTGCTTGACATGGCCAAGCTCAGGATTGAGGTGAAGTACCTAATCCTGATTTGGGTCAGTATCAAAAAAATATACCTTATCTACTTATGGACAGTTCTTCGCATACAGTTTTTGCTTTACAAACCGAAATGGCCTAATTCTCCGTGAATGGTGAAAGTTTGATTGGTTGTGATAAAATATTTGGAAAAAAAAAGGAAGCTCAAATTTAATTTTGTACATATGAATATAGAGTCAAGGTAGAAACATTTTCAAGTATGCATAACTTCTACATCCGGGTAAATGCTGCACAGGTCAAAAACTGCTTTAACTAGTCAAACTCAGGCCGCAGCAACCTGCCGTTTCCAACATGTATCGTTAAACCAAGAATCTAGTGTGCACTTGCAAAGAAATACTTATCAATTTGTATTATTTTTAAAATATTCACATGACTGAACATCTCTATAGAGATTTTAGGACTTTAATTACTGAAAATATTTCAAAACTATAGACAACGATAAAAACACATTACTATTTAAATATAGAGAAGTCCAGGGATTCAAGAGATGAAATCCATACTGCATACCACTGACTGCATGTATGTTGGGATTCATTCTAAATATGCTCTATATAAAATGTAGATGGTAGATTTAATTAGACCCTGGCATTTCCTGGTCTACATGTTATTTAGATCACTCTGTTTCAACTTCATACTGTTAAAAACATACATACATGGGAATCTCTGTACTGACAGACTAACATAAAGCTTCAAACCACAGAGCTGAATGAAGGGTATGCCCCGAGATTTGAAGTTGGAAAATTACTACCACCATATCAACGTTACTTACAACCAAGTCCAATAAAAATATTTAACCTCAAAATTTAGCAAAAATTTCACACTGAAAGTGAGGAAAAAGTGATTTTTTTTATATCTCTCGTAACACAAATATTTCCATTACCTCCTCAAGTTAATCTGAGAGAAGACCTCAAAGAAAACTGCTCCTCTGGAAATTTTCCATTTAGGTTGTTTTGAATTATCTGATGTTGTAAAAGTCCCTCTCTCTCTCTCTATATATATATATATATACAGGTTCAGATTATACTAAACCAGCCAAAGAGACACTGCTAAACCTATTTGCAATATTTACTTTAGTCCAAAACCAAAGGAAGGTTTCTTCCAGAAATTTATTAGCATGCTAGGGAGGGATGATAATAAAGGTCTCTACTCTTCTTCACTAAGCCTTCCCATCCTAGCAAAAAGACTGCAGTGCAATACGCAGTGCGATCTAGCCTTAGGGAATATGACTGTCTGGGCAATTTGGTGGCAATTATAATTCTCAGTTCTAGAGTTATACAAAAGGTAAAGGATTAACGTAAGTGAAAGAAAAACATTATAATTCTGCTTGTGTTACTGTACTGCCCAGAAGTTCTCGGCTCCCTTCTGCTGGCAGCATCTTGTCTCCACTCAAAAGCATTTGCCCTCTAAGCATATGACCAGAGACAACAGCAGGATTCAGAAAGACCGTCCCATGGAGAGAACAAGGACAGTTTCGAGGATGTGGTAGTTCTGCAGATGGTTACATACAGATGCATGGGAGAAAGCAAGAAGGTACTTTCTGGATGAAGTCAACCGTGTTCCCTACTTTAAAAACTTTCCTCGTGCCCCTCCTTTCCCCAGTTGCCAAATTTTTCCTAATGGAGAGACTGTTAACTGTAGAGAACTTCCAAAATTCTCATCTTTTACTAGACAAGTGTTCTAGTCCAGAGGTGTCAAGCGTATGGCCTGCAGACCAGTGTTGTTTGGCTCCCAGGGTGTCCTTAGAGGCCCAGAATTCAGGGGCAGGACCTGCTGGGTGGGGTGCCCTATTGCGTAGATCCATCAGTGATGGAGGGCGAGTGACAGCTGCACTGTCCCCCATGCTGCTGCGTCCAGATCTAGCCTGCGACAAGGGACGAA